AATGTCTAGAGACAGTTTTAGTTGACACAGTGGGGGTGAGGAGGGTGGGAGGGTGCTACTGGCCGCTAGTGGGTAGAGGACAGGGATGTTGCTAAATATCCTGTGTGGAGGACAGCCCCCATGACAAAGAATTATGCAGCCCAAAATGTCAATGTTGCCCAGAATGAGAAAACTGATATAGAGGAAAGAGTCCTAGACATCTCAATAGATAAAGGAATCACTACACTGGCACTCAGTAAAAGAAGGAATTTTCAAAAGCCTTAAGACAAACGAACAAAAAACCTAATTTGCTAATGGTGTGCATTAATAGAGAAAGACGTAATACAAGATTCCCAACAGAAATTATTAACTTCTTAAAAGCCTAGTGATATAAAGGAATAAACTACAACTATTAGTTAGGGTCATGCATATGGAATACTTCCTACTAATTTCCCTTCCCCTGAATCTAGACTGGCCTTAGTGACTTGTTTGACCAATATGCAGCAGAAAGAACATTCTGGGACTTCCAAGGCTAGCTTTAACAAATTTTGGTAGGTTGAATAATATCCCCCAAATATGTCCACATCCTAATCCTCCAACCTGTGAATATATTCCCTTTATGGCACAGATTTTGCAGGTGTGACTAAGTTAAGGAATTTAAGAGAGTAAGATTATCCTGGATTATCCAGGTGGGCCCTAAATGTCATCAGGAGGGTCCTTATACTAGAGAGGCAAAAAGGTCAGTGAAGGAGAAGATGATGCGACAACCAAAGCAGAAATTAGAGTGATATGACCAGGAACCAGAGAGTGCCAAAAGCTGGAAGAGACAAGGACCAGATTCTCCCCTGGAAAAAAAAGAGTCTTGCTGACACTTTTATTTTAGCCCCTTAAGTCTTATTTTGGACTTCAGACCTCCAGAACACTAAGAGAATAAATTTGTGCTGCTTTAAGCCACTAAATTTGTGGTGATTTGTTACACCAGCAATAGGAAACTAAGACAAAGTCTTACAGCTTCTACGTAGCCCTGTTGGAACATTTTCTCTGGGAGTCCAGATCCATCATCTAAGTTTCACAACCATTTTAAGTCTGTCATGGTAATGAGGTTACAGACATCTACTCTGGGCAACAGCTCCAGGGGAGCCCACCCCTTCCAGCCATCTCCAACAAAGTGCCAGACGGGTGAGTGAAGCCATCTTGGACCCTGTGACCAGCTCATTTGCCAGCCGTTTATGGAGTGAGCTCCATAGATACCACATGAAACAGACAAATCAGCCAGCCGAGCCCTTCCTGTATTCCTGACCCATCCACAAAATCATGAGATGTAATGTAATAGTTATTGTTTTAAGTCACACATAACTGTGGACATCAAGTTATATGTAAGCGATAATTAAAAAGTATTAAATAGCATATATCCATATTATAATGGAAGAAAATAAATCCTATTTGCATTATCTGTTTTCTGCTGGCAGTAATTCCTAGTAATAGGGCTTCTCCAATATGCCCAGTAACTCTAAAGGATTCAGAATTAAGCTTGTTGGAATATACTGCTATAATTAGGTTCTTTCCATATTGGTAAAATAACTGATCGTAGCAAAGCTTCATTTAACTTATCTAGGCCCAAGATACAGAAGCTCTCAGCTTATTATCTACCTCTCACTCCTCCTGACTCAATTCACACTTCATATGTTCATTCTGGTTCTTCTCCTCTTGCTGGGTCTAGTTGGGGCTACACTTCCCTTATTCCTCTTAAAGGCAGTGAAACACCTTTATTCATGTATCTTAATTTGAAGTATGACATGTTTCTATTGCCCTCTTCCTTATTCTCTTTGAGCAAAAGCCAAGATATCTCCAATTCATCCCAGAGGCTCATATATTAACAGAATCGCCACTTTCTCATAATGCTGATCAATGGGCAGAGAAAAATGGGGATACTCTTGTCAAGAGTCCAAGATCCCTAGTGGACCAGAACTCCATGGAAAATCTTATTTGTTTTTAAGTATTCTAGGTATCCACTTTAATATTAGCTTTTTAGGGGGCCAGCCCAGTGGCGCAGCAGTTAAGTTCACAAGTTCAAGCAGCTCGGGGTTCGCCGGTTCGGATCCCGTGTGTGGACCTATGTACCGCTTGTCAAGCCACGCTGTGGCAGGCATCCCACATGTAAAGTAGAGGAAGATGGGCATGGATGTTAGCTCAGGGCCAGTCTTCCTCAGCAAAAAGAGGAGGACTGGCGGCAGATGTTAGCTCAGGGCTAATCTTCCTCAAAATAATAACAATAATAATAATTAGAAATACTAACTGTAAAAATTGGGAGACAAATTTGTTTTAAAAATCTTGGTGAAAATTAAAAGGAAACAGTTAATAATGTCAGCTTGCCAGTCCTACTTGGAAAAACAATGAACCAACAATGTACTATCAGAAGAATATGGACTGTTCCTGGAAGAAGAGAGAACAGGTTGAACAGATAAGTCGATCACATCAACTTTTTTAAAACTGAGGAGGAAATCAGTTTGTAATTTAAAAATCACAATATCCTATTTAACTACAATAAGACATCCCACAAAGTCTGCCTTATCTATTACAAAATGATTGTAAAGCTTTATCCCATCACAGACTATATCAAATGCCTACTGATAAGGGCAAATGTATCAAATTTCAGCAGTGGATTCCACGACCATACCAAAGCCTGGATGATTTTTTTCCTGTAATGTTTCTACACCAAATCCAAAACACTTCATTAGCTCATACAAGCACCCTTTCCAAGAACACATAAGATTTCCTATAATAAGAAACAGCCCTTTCAAGAGAATTCATTTCATTAGATAGTGTACTTAGGACACACACATTTAGTACATGGGAAAAACATGGGAGTTTTTCATTTGTTTGATTGGGAAAAATGTTAATTTCAGGGTTGGAATGAGCTGTATGCATTCTCAACATAGTAAAATCCTCTTTGCCTTCAATGATCAACAAATAAAGTAGTTTACTAGTGATGATTCCAGTTATCGCCATAGGAACTGTATGTACTGATATTGAAAACAATAGGGAATACTAAGACTGTACTAAAAATTAAAGCAACATCATCAACTGTCATCTGAGTCAAAAGGCAATAATTGAGTCATCAACAGTGGTGAAAATGTTGCTGTAAATTTTGAAGTTCTTTAGCTTATAAACAGGAGATAAGCATTTGACTACCACATTGCTTCCTATAGCCTTGCCTGTTTATCTTGAACATTGACAACTTAAATTACTAACTTCTCTCTCATTTATCTTACATACTTATTAAGATTAACTGATGCTAATTGATGTCCACTACTGAACTTTATAGGTCCTTTCCAGAATATCCAAAACCATGTTAAATTTAAAAACATTATCTTCATTGGAAAATGTAGCAACCCTATAGTGCAATACGTGTGGCATGTGCTAACGCAAGAAAGTAGAAGGTAAAGTTTACCCAGTTGTATCGCAGCACATGCTTTGCAAGAACTGTCATTAAATCATATTAACAGGGCTCTCCAAACTTGTAACAACATTAATGCAGAATTTCCAAGAAAGGACTTAGAAAAGGCCAAAAGTGTGTTCAAACAGTCTCGCCCATGGACAAAGATTCCTCAAATTAACGCTCCAGCATATGACTGTCTATATTGTTCTCCAAGGAGTACATTTTCAGAATTGAGTATTTTAAAACTGCACACTGAGTGCACACATAGCTTACAAATACACCAGTATTTTAATTATGACTTCCTCTAACATCATGATTACACACTTAACAACTGAATTGATTGCGATGTTACATTTTTCCTGTAAAAGCCTTGTGGGTAGACAGTCTGGAATCTCCCAATACCATAAATTGGTCCACAATTCCCCGAACTGAGAAAGAAGGCAGTTAAAAGGCACAACTAATAAAAAGTTTCTGCAGAAGGAGTAATGGATAAGTCACGCTTAGATGAGGCAGATAATTTCCTCCATCCCTATACACAGGCCAAAGAACCCCTTTAAGCGCCTCTGGCAAACCAAATGCCACGTTCCAAATCAACGTGCTCTAAACCTAAGGAATCTATGGAATGTTTCTGTACCTACCGACTTGGGGAGGCGAGGGAACAGACATAAAAAAAAGAAACTTTCAAAGACATCAGAACGTAATATAAAATAGCAGCAATGTATTTTGTCTGGCAAAATACGTTCAGACTGAATCATTTAACCATTTGCTCCTTTCGGCCCTTTGATTTTCTGTTCTAGCTTTTTCTCCCGGACTCCAATTCTGACCTGCCAGCATTCTGCACCCGTTTTAAAAATATCCTATTTTAACATGTTAACTTAAAAATAGCTTTGCTTTCACCGTCCCAAATTACTTTCGAGCAGCACTCTGCTTTTTCCTGTAGAGCCACAGAATCCCAGAAAAACCCCTTCTGATTTAGCATTCTTTCAACCTCCAGGGGAAACAACAAACGCTGGAGTTGAACTCGTGCAGCCCCGAACCTCTACGGGCTCGCAAGTCTGTATCTGTATCAGTGACCGGTTTGGTCCATCCTTTCCATTTCCCAGGAAAAGGTTTCCTTAAATTAAAACCACCAGGTCCGCGCGCACGCAAGCAGCTGAGAGCATCTCTGACTTAGGAAGCGAGCTCCCTTCTCCTGGACGCCCAGACATGCCCGTTGCACAACCCCTCAAGAAAGTTTCTCCCCGCCTCCCTGCACTTTCGGAGGAGGCACCTGCCTGGCTGCACGGCCGCGAGATCGCAGCCCCGGCTCGGGGACAGGAGGCCCGGGGAGGGGAGGTGCCTGGCAAACCCAAACAAAAGCAAAACACGATCGGTTGGCAATCTGGGCTTCTGCAGCCGGGGAGGAAGCTGCCAAGCGCTGGCCCCGGCGGCCTGGCACGCGCCGCGCCTGTCCTACCTGCCCCGGGGACACTGGGGAGGCGCAAAGTTCCCCCCCTCGGACGGCCCAGGCGCGGGGCAGGAGGGCTCCCGGGGTGGGAGGGGCGGGCGCCGGGCCCGGGCTCGCCCCCAGCCGCCCCCTTACCTTGGGCGATGGCGATGGACTCGAAGCGGTGCAGCTCCTTGAGCAGGCAGCTCCTCTCGGTGGAGTGCAGGCTGTAGATGAAGTCGCGCGCGCCCTGAGCCGTGTTCAGCGCCTCCATGGGCTCCTTCTTGGGGTGCGTGCCCAGCCCCCGGGGGCCGCCGGGCGCCGCGAGCGCCAGCAGCCCCCGCCCGCGGCGGCACCAGGACGGCGGGCGGGGCGCGGCTGCCGGGCCCGGCCTCAGGCTGCGCGCGGTCCGGCTCCTCAGCAGCGGCAGCAGCCGGGACATGGCGGGCTGAGGAGCGGGGACCCCCGCGGCCGTCCGGGAAGGCGATGGCCGGCGAGGCCGGGGGAAGCAGCAGGAGCTGGGCTCAGCCCGACCCCGCCCCGATGTCCTCCTGACAGGCAGCCGAGGCGCCGGGCACCATGCACTCCCCGGGCCCGCGCGGCCGTCGCCTCCTCTTCCGTCCCCTTCCCTTCCAAAAGGCCCGCGGCCGCTCCGCCGACGAAAACTTTCTGTGAGGCGGCCGGGCCCGGAGAGCTCCCGGAGAGGGCGGGCGGTGCGGGCGGGCGCCTGCTGGCTGAGGAGGAACGGCGCGGGCGGGCGGGTTCGGCGAGGGCTGGTGTCTGTCAGTCTGGTCTTCCAGAGGGATGAGTCAGCCACGCGCCGCCCTCCTCCGGCGCCGCCCTCCTCTCCCGCCGGCTTTCCCACCCTCTTGCCTGCCCTCGTCCCCTCTCGGCACAGCTCCCTCGGCCTCAAAGCAGCCGCGCTCTCAGGCCGCAGCTGCCGCCGCTACCCCTAGCGGCGATATAAGGGGTAACGGGGCGGGGCGAACGGAGAAGGCGGGGCGGGGGCGGGGCCGCGCAGGCGCAGTCCGCAGGCTCGCGGACCGCCGTCCCTCCCGAGGAAGGAGCGCGCACATGCGTCCCCACCCCCTCCGGTGAGCGAAGGTGGAGGGAGGAGGCCCATGCTCGTGCCGGCATCCCCTACCTTTCCAGCGAGGAGAGTAGGGACGCAGAACTTTGGGCCCCTCTCCCGGCCGAGTCGTGCAGCTGCCACCCGGCCCACCCTAGCGCCATGCCTAAATCTAGGGCTCATTCTGAATGATGCCCCAGCGTGCGGCCCCCCTTGCCCGGTACGGACCAGGAGGAGACCAGCCAGGCCGCTCTGGAGAGCCTCGCTACCGCTCGGAACCTCGCGGGGTCGCAGCGCCCTGCTCTGGTTTTTGGGGATTGAAGCGCCCAAGCCGCGCCTTTTACCAAGTTGCCGCCCACCGTGGCCTCGGCCAGACGCTCGGGTTTCTGAGGCACCCCGTTTGGGAGCTCCAAAGAGAGGGCGACGAGGCCGGTTCTACCCCTTCCTCAGAAGGATTTGAGACTGAGACCCTGACACCGAGAATACCCTTCCACTTTCTGATGCCAGCAGCTTGCAGATTGTTAATGCTGAAGCGGGAGGCAAGAATGTCACAGCCCTTTTAGGGGTGTTTGTCAAGGTTGGTTTTTTTTTTTCTCTATGCCAAGGCAGAAAGAATTCTGCGATTCTCCACTATTTCCGCATGTCCAGGTCCTAGGCATCTTTCAAGGCCCAGTTCAAAGGGTCTCTTACTCCAAGCTTTACTTTTCTCTCTTCATAAGAGAGGAGATCTCGGCTTTATCTGAACCTATCTAATGACACTAAGGCTTCCTGTCTTAGAGAATAGATCCACTTAGAGAATAAATCTGCTCAAGTGTAATCAAGATCCAAATCCTATCCTTATATCCGCTGCTGCACCCAGCCCAAGACCTTGTGTGTAGTGGATGTGCTATAAACATGTAAGTGCAAAATATAAATGTGAATCAAAGGAGGAATGTTATCACTAAATCCTCCTGCTGCACTGTCTCAGTGGTTCTCAAAGTATAGTTCCCTGGACAGCAGAGCGTGTTAGACATGCAAATTGGTGTGCTCCACCCAAGACCTCCTGAATCAGAAACTGGGCGTTGGGCCCAGTCGTCTGTGTTTTAACAAGCTCGCCACTTAATAGTGATGCACACAAAAGTTTGAGAGCCACTGCTCTAACTTAAAGAAACATGGAAAGTCATTTTTTGTTTTTCAATTTCAAAGCAATGCCCTCTAGTGTAATAATGACAGTTAAGAATGCACTTTGTGGGAAATACAAGTTCTTTGAGTGTAGAGACTGTGTCTTTCTTGTCTTTGAAATGCTTTACACCCCCAGTGTGTGTTGGGATCCTCTGCAGAGTTATTTCAGTCTCAAGTTCTTGAGATTACCACCACCCTCCCCACGCTATCCTTTACCCTCAAGAGATTCTGACTCGTTGGGCTGGGGGTGAGGCCTGGGAAGTGAGGTTTGGAAGAGTTCCTCAGTAAGAACCCATTCCCAAGAGTCTGTAGGACACCAGTTTTGTGTGTGAGCTCTAGAAACAGATTGTTGAAAGTGTGATAACTGGGTCAACCATTTCCTAGTTAGGTATTAGTGGTAGATTATTACAATAGTGGTCCCAATGTATCATGCCTTATGGTATCCACTCCCTTGTGTAGACCTTGACTATGTTGACTATGGGCTTGGCTATATGACTTGCTTTAGCCAATAAATGGGAGATCACAAACCTGATCTGATAAGTGCTTGCTCGTTGGGGCTTGTAATATGTTTGCTGTATGATTTATGAATATTCCATTCTGCTATAGAAAATAGGAGAAACTAAACCGTAGGCACGATTTGCTTATGAGACATGTTGCACATAGACTAAGTGGATGTATGTTGAACATAGATTAAAAGGAGGGAACAAATGAAAGGGCTAGATAGAAAGAGGTAGACCAAGTGAACTTTAAATATTAATATGGCATGGATCGTACTACCTCTAGACTGATGACTGTTTCATCCCTAAATTGGCCACCTACTAGCCCCATCATGGCCTCATGTTATCTCTGCACAAGAAAAACAGATAAACTCCTAGCTACTCAGCCAGCTAATGGCCATCTACAGTTATGACCAGACACAAAACAAATGAATGTTGGTTCCAAGACCTTCAATCTTGTCAATCCCTCTTGCTTATTCTCTACTCTGGTCCTTAAAACCACACCATCTGTGGAGAAGACTGGCACAGCAGAGAGGTATAGGATGTATGAACATTGCATAAAACAAAATTTAGGTGCTTTGGGCCCTCCACCCTGCTTGTACCCTATCCTAAGCTTGTATATCTACCCTATCTCTTTCCTCTTGCTTCTCACTCTGTTCTAAATTAGTTGATAAATTGTTTGGGTTACTGGTGCAGCTCTTTGAGTGAACACATTATGCCAAACTTAGTGGCTTGAATAGCCAGCTCATGATTTTGTGGCTCAGAAATTCGGGAAGGGCTTGCCTGGGCAGTTCTTTGTTGGCATCTCTTATCAGATGTCAACTGCAGCCACTGTCATTTGAAGGATTATCTGGGCTGGACATCCAAGGTGGCACACTCATGTGGCTGACAGTTGATGCTGGCTGTTCGCTGACTGGGAGCTCAGCTGGGGCTGTGAACCAGAGCACCTTCGTGCAACCCCGCCAGCATGGCAGACTTCTCACATGGCAGCTGGCTTCCCTCAGAGCAGGTGTCTGAAAAGAACGAGGGTCGTGGCCTTTTCTGACTTATCCTAAGAAGTCATGCAGCATCACTTCCAATGTATTCTGCTAGCTACCAGCAAGCCACTAAAGCCAGCCTAGATTCAAGAGAAGGGGAAATAGACCCCCGCCTCTCAATGAGAGCAATGCCAAAGAATTTGGGAACATGTTTTAAAGCTGCCACATAAGCAATGGGATTCAAGTATTTTAATTTGGTCTATAAAGCCTGTCTCTTCTGTGAGCTACAGTACAACCTGTCTGTTGGTATACTTGGAGGGTGCCATTGCCTCAAGGTAATTTTGGGCATGATGTTTGCCCTGTTGGAATTCAGCTGCCATATAAAGAAGTCTGGAATATCCTGCTAGAAAGGCCACGTCGAGGAGGAGGCAACAGCCAATAGCCCCAGCTAACTACCAGTCACATGTATGAGGCCATCTTGGACTGTCCAGTCCCAATCAAGCCCCAGATGACAGCATGGTGATCATTAGCTCTGGGGCCAGCCTGCCTGGGTTTGAGTCCTCACTCTACCATTTGCTAGCTGTATAACCTTGAGCTAATAACTCAGCCTTTCCAGGGCTGCTCAGCTGTTTGATGGGGATAAGGGCATGTTGCTAAGTTTGCTCATCTGTTAAATGGAGGTAAAGGGTATCTGCTTAATAGGGTTTTAGTGAAACTAAATGAGTTAATACATGTCAAGCATTTCAAACACACCTGAAACATGGTAAGTGCTCAATAACTATTAGCTGTTATCCAAATTCCCAGGGACACCTCAAACCTCTAGGATTATGGCTTTGAACCCTAATTTAAGAGATATCTACCGAGCTACCTGTCATTTAATACACATTAATGTGTATTAACTGCATTCTGCATCTACTCCCTTTCTCTGAACACTGAAATCGCCTGATAAGAATACATAGAGGTGGGGTGGGCCCCGTGGCCGAGTGGTTAAGTTCGCACGCTCCGCTGCAGGTGGCCCAGTGTTTCGTAGGTTCGAATCCTGGGCGCGGACACGGCACCACTCATCCAGCCATGCTGAGGAGGCATCCCACATGCCACAACTAGAAGGACCCACAACGAAGAATATATACAACTATGTACCCCGGGGGCTTTGGGGAGAAAAAAGAAAAAAATAAAATCTTTAAAAAAAAAAAAAAAGAATACATAGAGGAGATGGAGAGGGGGGAGGGTTTGGGGTCCATGTGTGGAGCTCCTGAGAAATATGACAGGTCTAGATGTGGGTGGCCAGAGGAAGTTTCTGAGGAAATATGAGGGTACTGAAGAGGTAGTGCCAGCAGGTCGGAGGCTGTTCCGGGAATGGAAGAGGGGGAGAAGGAGGACCCAGAAGGCAAACTTGGCATGGGTTCGGCCTAGCCTGCTCTGCACCTTTAAAGATGACAAACATCATGCCTCAGTTAACAATCAGCTTCATCCTCATAAAAAAATTGCTGCTGAATCAACAGTCCACGGTAGGTTACATCATGCAGAGTTCCTGGCATCCCTGTTGCTGGCAGGGCACAAAGCTGTTTGCTGTCTTTACCTCTTATGATACCTCGTACACCCAGCTATTACGATCCACTTTAAAATTCTTGAAATTGTTGCTTTCCTTTGTGGGACCTTTAATCATTTCTTCTGCCCACATGTTTGCAGTTCCCTGATTGCACTTCTCATCCATCAAGTTCCTGACTTAAGGTTCTAACCTCTCAGGTCCCTTGCCCCATCAGAGGCAGAAGAGCTAGCGGGGTAGGAGGAAAACCAGAGGACTGTGGTGTTCATTGTCCTTCTCTCTGTTCGTATCACTGGAGATGCCACAACTGTGTCTACCTGTTGTAATACTGATCATTATTATTCTTGGGATATTAGATTTTTTTTTTAACTTTCCCCTTTGCACTTGTCTCTGTTGTTTGAATTGTTTATAAGTGCACTAAAATGAAGGTAATGGGTTAAAAAAGATATAGCCTTGCAAGCACAGAGTTAATGGGAGAAGAGACGACAACAATACAGTAATACATGATAGAAAGCAAATGGAAGAGTGGTAACTAACCTGGTGGGGCAGCGAAAGGTGAAAACTGAGCTGGAATGAAACACCCTAGAAGAAGGTTAATCTGAGCAACAGCCTCAAGAAAGTACAGGAATTGGAGGTCCCAAGTACCTCTGAAGGTGGAGATATAATTGAGCTTGAAACGGAAGATCTAGGTGAAAAATTTTAAAG